TTATCGTAATAGATATATGGGTATTCTCTAGTGGTTAGCGGAATAGATATATGGGGATTCTCTAGTGGTTGACGGAGGAGATCTATAAATAGATATATTTTCTAGAGGTAAGTAGAAGAGATATATTGGGAATTTTTAGAAGTTGGCGGGGGAGGAATGCACACGGAAGAAGAGATTTCTAGTAGGCGGAAAGGATTCTTCTGGGAGACACTCGAGCAATGTTTTAAAATGCAAAGCTCATATATGATTGAGTTATCCCCTTTTACATTTATCATTGATATATTAGTGGTATTAAATATATGGAAAGAGATTTTCATAAGCTATATATGTATATGCATGTAACAACGTAACTCGTTTATAACAAAAGAAAGTCGACACTACCATATAGGACATTGGTTACATATACACGTATTTATTCTATATAAAAACCTATTCCTTCAGGGTCGTCACTAGAACCAGACGTCCCAGAGTGGTGTTAATACACCAAGCTGACCAAGCTAAATATCAGCACAAGCAACAAGGTATTGCGGTATTTAGACAAAATCTTTACGTAATATCCAGGCGTGCACGATCACGGATCAGTAAAAGGACTACGGAAATGACGTAATTATATCTGAAAACAAGATTAAGGGATAGCTTCAATGAAACAAAGTTAAAATGTTTTGATTACATTTTGTTTTTCAGAAAAAGACCAAAGTCATCTACAACGCGTCCGTGGTAAGGTGACAGCAGACAGCGTGATGGATTACACGTGCCATTATTAGGCTACTTGTCTGCCCGGTTACGATGAAATGAGCCAATGAACGGCCAGTGATGGATTGCTGCAGACGTAACAAGCATAAAAAATCCTTCGCACTAATTGGACGTAACAAGATTTTAACCATATTTCGTGAGTTCTCCGAGTCTTGTCTGTTGTGATGCATAAGACCTTGCCCACGGATGTCACCCATCTCATCTCGGTTTCCATATATTGGTCGTGTAATTGGATGGAGCCTGAGTAATACTTCGGTAATCCGACATCCGTTCCCTGTAACTCTCTGTGTTGGTACTAATCCGTTGTTTACAAGAACAAGTGCTGTTTTACTTTTTCGATTGATAATAGACTTATATGAATGTAATGGTACATTGTACGGCTTGTGTGACTTAGTATCTGTGGACTGGTCCATTTATAGCTCGTATGAACTTGTCTATTGTACACATCGTAAGATGACATGTACATCGGATGCTTGAACACATATGTTCCTTATAACAAGGTTGAACTGATATTGAGATTTATATTGGGCTGTTTATTTGTTATAATCAAGAAGTAAGTTTACTTTTGTCTGTACAGGTATATTTAACTTTTAATATCTGTTCGTTATCTTCGAGTTAATAATCTGCTTTCGACAGGATGTTATTTGGGAGTTGCGGTGTTGCATCTTGTATCCGTAACTATACACCTTGTAGGCAGACTAACGTCCTACATCATAATTAATTATAAGATAAAACTTACCTCTGAAAATGTCGTCTACCGTAGGCATAAACTCCTCGTCAAAGCCACCGCGCACAGAAAATCCAAAACTATTTTCGAATTTCTGTAGCTCTAGAATAATATCAATATTGTCATTGTTTAAAACTTTGTTTTGCGTTTGAGGGTTTTCAAATTCAAAATAATCAGAAAACCCATCACAATCCGGGTCTTGAAATTCTGGTTCAAGACCGAATGGAGACCAAACTGTGCTCACTTCCTGTGGTGAAATACCGGAAGTAACCACCTCTGCATCGCTTACACTTCCCCAGTAATAACTGTCTATCCGGTCCACATGGTGCACCTTGTCAGTTGGTTGGTTGTATCGTTGCCTTTCCTCTTTACTCTCGCTGTAATCATTAAACATGTCGTCTTTGAAACATGGTGTAGTCAAGAACATTTGTGGGTTGTAGTATTCGTCGATTATAGCCTCGTTTTCGAGAACACTAGAACTTCTTCCGGGGAATCCAGGAAACAACTTAATGGCGATGTCTTCCTCGTCATCCATTTCGCTGTCTGTAAAACAAGACAACGGATTTAAAGCCATGTTTATTCAAGTTCCTTTACTTATTTCCTACATTAAAAACCTCTGACACCATTCGATTAGCATCACATGGTACTGAGTGCATATTGGCTGACATTTAAAACTGGGCGGTCTCTAATTTACAGATCGTGAGTTTGGGGGCCAAAGCAAGGCACGCTTTTTCCTTCATGATTTGTGATTCTGTGTTACGTTATAACACAACGTATCGACATATGTGAATCAGAGAGATCTATCATATGAACTACGTGCCGTAATTGCTCTGTACTTTAAATAAAAATCAAGCATTTTAAAAGCACACTTTTAAGTACCTGAATGGATCTCATTCCTAAACAACAGAAATTTTGATTTCATAATGTAATACATATGTAACGGTACAAACTGGGTCAAAGGTCCTAACAAACCGTACGGTATTAGTTCGTAACAATACAGATTGAGTGAAAGGTCGTCAGAAAGGGAACACACTACTAGTTGGAGTATAAATTGGTTCAAAGGTCATCACACGATAGATGGACATGCTTCGTTACAGTCTGCACTGGGTCAAAGGTAGTTGTACAATATATACTATTACCTAGTTACCGTGCACATCAGTTCAAAGGTCGTAAAACCATAGATTATACTACTTAGGAACTGTACACACGGGTTCAAAGCCTCAAGCTCATCGAACGGACAACTATACTAGCAGTATCCTAGCACCGGGTAAACAATAGTGCACTTGCGTGACGATTTCATGTCAGCACTCGAAATCGAGATTTAACTGAGAAATGTGTAATCACGTGTACTTCAAAAATAAAACTTCCGATACAAAGACATAAATCGACTCACGGGAAGACATCGACAAGAGACCAGACGACTTTAAGAAGGTCATATAAGAAGCGCATGAAATTATATGTACAATTAAGTCTACGGGACAATTTTGGTATTATAGTTTTATTTATTTAGATAAGTTTTGGTATATATGTAATTTATAAAAAAAAATCCGATTTTTTTCGAGGAAGACAACTCTCATGAGGATCAAAGTGATTGTAAAATGTTATATAAATAACAAATAAAGCCATTGTGTATATTTTGTTCAATGTTTTAATCTGTTTGTATGAAACTCTGGCCATGTTGGCTTTAGCTGGTAGATATTCCCTTTTATCCATAACATTTCAATAAAAATCTTTGTGTAACGTGTTTTATACATTTTATTATAAATAAAAGTTGGTTAGGTTATATATAATTAGCAACATTTCATTTCACTTGTTTTATTGTTACAACGCCACACACACCAAAAATGGGAAATATCAAAATTGACGAAAGCTCAATGTTCTGGGCCTTTTTACCGAATAAATCCCCATAGAAATGCTTTGATTTCCATAAAATCACATTAACATAGTTGCATAACCATTATGTGAAGGTTTCTCAACGCTGAGATGTCTGGTAATCTATCGGTCAAAATATCTAGGTCTGGTGTAAGGGCTAGATGAAACTCGAGCTAGACCCAATGGTGGAGGGGTAGTGATGGTGGACCGTCTTCATATATGTGATATCACAAATTCCATTTCAAGACATCATTGCAATAACATTAATTGGTGATATTTCAGGAATGAACATGTAGAGTTACAGTATGCACTCCAAACAAAGTTACAGTTCCTTTCTATCACTTCGCTTCGAAAAGGATGAAATTAAAATCGAATTTATGCTGCACAGGTCATACAATTGAGTAGATTTTATCTAAAGAATTATCATATAATCAAATCGATTATATGGTATCAAATAATACTAACTGATATCATAAAACGTATTTAATGATATTACCATTTTGGGAATGGACACCAAAACACCGCCACCAAAACACCGCCACCACTATCAAGGACGGGGTAGAGATGATGGAGGGGAGCTAACTCGTACTCCAAGTACTAAGAGGGCTACCTATAGGGAAATAGCACGCGTTATGCCACAAAGAGGAACTACTCAAGTGTCAGTCTTTGTTTGCATCAGGTTACGGACACATACATGTATATAAATTGGCCGCTCCATATATAGTGGACATGTTACAAATCAATAGAACAGAAAACATGGCCGTGTACGTCGTTTGACTGATTAATTTACAGGCAAATGAATGGTTATGACACAAGAAAGTAAATACAGGTGTGAGAGAGTAACGTAGGAAAAGAGGGAAATTTGTCAACAATGAAAGATGCTTCGTGTGGACGGACCGAGGTATCGTTCAGTGACTCAAACGTTTTCAAATCGGTCCCCGCTAAATTACAACTACCTGTTTATCTACTGTATGTAGATTTTGATATATACACGAGAATAGCCTCTTGAACGATCAAGATTCCACGTAATTTTTATCAGTATACCTGATGAGAAGATAACCCCAGACGTACTGGCGAGTCAACGATCTGAAGTTATAACGGGTACCGGTACAATGTTTATATATCGTTACTGCATTTCTCGTGAACATGACAATTTGAAGACGTCGAATTAACCAGCCAGACTAAATGTCAAAATGTCCTATCTTACCTCGTATCATTGGTGTATTTGGAATTTCGATTTCGTAGTTGTGTTTACAGTGTCCGGTATTGTTGTCGTACGTGTGAGAATCCCGCGTTGACGGGCTAAACATTATATAATTCATCAATGTAAACAAACCAGTTTGTCAGTTCAGCTGATATATAGTGTGGACTCGTGTCCTTAATACTGCCCCTATCACGTACACAGCTGTCCCGATACAGTATGCGTACTTAACATATCCCGAGTCAACAGGTCCAGGGAACACCTCTCACGTACTATACAGATCCCAAGTCTACAGGTCCAGGGAACACCT